CATAAACTAGCCACTTCCATAATTTTCCAAATACTAGAGTAATTACAATTTTTAACATGCCTGACATGGCTAACAGTTGCTGAAATAGTGGGCAGTTTTCTGTATGTAGCAACCCCCTACTCATCTTTGTAACTGCGCTAAAATAAAGGTACAATTCCATACAGTGTCTATCCCATATAGTCTCTATCTTCAGATTTGCTGCATTTGTAAATGCCTTCAAACGTCACCAGAATTTTGATGTGTAGGCATTTTTTTTGAAACATCTTTTCTGTTTTCGTCAATTCACAATACAAAATAAAAAGTGCACTTTTGACTTTTGCTTTTCATAGTCTTTCATAAACATCAAGTTCGCAACGAAACCACTGAGATGCCGACATTTCCAATATAATTTTACAATAAAAATAATTTACAGTAACATCAAAAGATACATTAAAGGAAAAAACAAGTCGATTGCTGGTGCACTTTATTTGATATTAACATTATTCTGCAAGCAGTGCTGACAGTACTGTCACTACATATGAAATTGTACAGAAATAAAGAAAAACACGTACCGCTGATTCCAGGCTGAATCTGCATTTTAAAAAAAGTAAGGCTATACAGCACAATGGCATAGATGCCTATTGTGAATTAAATTCAACTCTTAAAAAGATCCCTCAAGACAAGGAAGCTAGCAGAAATCAATGCAAAGCTCCCTGGCTTTCAATACAGCTGCTGCTTTCATCAGAGATGGTAGAGGAAGAGCTTTGGTAAAGGTTTCCAATCAGCAGAGTTCACATACATTGAACAACTGTCAGCTATATATCAATGTCGACTGTGGATGATTCAATCTGTTTGCTATGTCCCTTTCCTTGCTCCAGGAATCCCTAAGCCATCCTTTCTTTGCTGCCTCTGAATAAACGCACTGGGTTGATTAGAAGACAGGCCAGTCAATTATCAGTGAAACAATGCAATACTCTACAAATAATTGCATTATATTGTGAGATATCAGTCATTTTTATAAAGCAAGTTCTAAATACCCTAATAAGAAATTTAAAAAATCTGATGAACTTTATCTGGGCTTTTATATCAAGGATTTTATGACTAGACACACAGTCAGATTATGTTGGGATTTTTTTTTTTTGTATCAGGCTCTATTTAAGCACATATTGTGAATCTAAAGTGCTTTGTTCCAGCTGTCAAGAAAAGAAAAGGCTCCTTCGTTATCACCTAACCTGAATATATTGAAAATATCATACTAAAGCACACCATTTGAAATACTTTTTGTGTGGTTTAAGTCTAAAACTAGTATAGATAATATAAGAAGTGTTCCAGTTTATCTTCATACTTTTAAAAGCCATGCTGTAAAAATGCACAACAAAGCAGCACGAAGTCTAGGCTAAGCAACACCAACGAGTAGGTGTAGAGTTGCTTTAAGTTGAAGTTTGAAAGAAAATAGCAGATTTTGAAGTGTGCTGTATATTAAATTGTGTCGTGTTACCCAAGGACTATAATAGGTGAAGAAATCAGCTTGCAGTTCCGCTTAAGCCACCAGTTACAAATCAGCACCACCAAAACCAAAATGCAATTAGACAATGTTATTTTCCTTCTGTGGCAAGGCACACTGATTAAAACTTACCAAACATGCTTTCTTATAGAACGGATATTACACAAAGAGAATTATAAAGAGACTGTAAATACATGCATGCAACCCCAAGTCAACTGATCTGAAAACTGCAGTGGGGAACTCTACGAGGAAACTTGAAGCTTTGCTCTAGAAACAAAAGGGGAAAGAGAAGATAAAGGAAGTCTTTGTGGTAACTGAGCTGAAAACAGTACATCCATTCAGCATGGATGAGTACCTGGATGCCAGAATTTTGCTTTTGGTTAAAGAAAGTCTTTTTTCTTCCTCTCTTTCTCCCTGCATTCCCCTTCATGAGTTCCCACACAGTGTTCAATGTTTTCTTGCATTCCAGGTCTCCACTCTCACATTTAGTAGTCTACATAATCTTAAATACATACATCAAATTTCCTCTTTCCTTATCTCTAATGCTCTTCAAGGATTAAAACTTTACCCTCAAATTAAGATGATGCCCTTCCCAAGCGCTCTGGGTTAGTAGATGAAAAACCAGAAACCACTTAAAAACTACTAAAGATGCTAGCCTAGTTCAGCCTAGTCACTTTTCCATTTTCCACCATCCATTACTGTTCTAGCACCCAGAAGTCACACTGTTCCACTTCACCCAGAAAAGGTCATATTCTAAGAAAGCAAGGAATAAGAGAACAGTTTAAAACATCTGTAATTTGTTCTCAGACTACTTTGCCTGCCATAAGTCAAAAATCAATTCACAAGTTTTAAAATTCAATAGAATCATAGAACAGTTTGGGTTGGAAGGGACCTTTAAAGGCCATCAAGGCCAACCCCCCTGTAATGGGCAGGGACATCTTCAACTACATCAGGTTGCTCAGAGCCTCCTCCAACCTGACCTTGAATGTTTCCAGGGATGGGGCATCTACCACCTGTCTGGGCAATATATATTCAGTGCTTCACTACCCTCATCATAAAAAAATGTCTTCCTTATATCTAGTCAGATCCAGTAATTTCCGCCAGCTCAAGGTATCTGAATTCAAATGAAATCATTTAAACACAGAACAGTTGCTAACTTATGTGGTGACTTATTTCCTGCCCTTCCCTTTGAACTCAGCCTCACAAACTGATTCCCTCTCCTTGGCAACTCACAGGCATCCTTACACCTCAGTTTCTCTTCACTGTGTTTCTGCCCCTTCATTCTCTTCCCTTCCCACACCCTCCACCTCAGCTAGCATCTGCTTCTCTCATCTCCTTTCTTTCCTGAACGTTATTTGCGTTTCTCCTGGATTTCTGCTGGACTTTGAATTACTCTGCCAGATTTACACAGACTCCCTTTTCCCCACCACACTCCAGACTGTGATCAAAGGCTAGAATAACTTTAACTTTTGGTGGGGTACAGAGACAAAATAAAGCTTTTTAGCTATTTGACCTACACATGCAGTTTATTTGGCTATACAAATACTGAGCTCTTGCCTATTTCCTAACTACCATCCTCAACATTGCTTTCCCAAGACTGCTTTTGGTACCAAAGCATACAGAGTGTAAAACACAGAACAATTCAAATAATTTTGGGCAGTGACAACTGCAGTGGGATCCTGCAACTCTGGAAGGCAAAAAAAAAAAAAATACAGAATATCAGATATAAAAGTCTTAAATCCTTCTTTTTTTTTTTTCCTGCAAACTGTATCTCAAGCACATTTTGTCCAACTGATCTCCGATTTCAAAACATTCAGTATTTCCTGATATTCCAAAAACGGCACCAAATTCTGTAAAAAATTCAGAAAGTCTGTGGAGTTCAGAGCGTTGTGCAAAGTAAACTTCTCTTCAGAAACAGTCTCAAGCTGAACTGGAACAAAGTCACATCTCACTGCAATAGCCTCAGAGGAGGCCCTTCCTCTGCTATCAAGTCATACTTCATGTCAGCAGCTTCACAGCAGTGTAACATATTGCACTGAGTCACCACCTTCCACCAAAGCACTGCCCTGAAACAAAGACTCCTCCCA